TTCTTGAAATCCATTGTCTTTATTTTGCTGTTCTCCCTCCTACCGTTCCTTAGAATCATGAACTCTACCATTTCATGATCACTTTCACCCAAGCTGCCTTCCACTTTCAAATTCTCAGCCAGTTCCACCCTATTTGTCAAAATCAAATCTAGAACAGCCTCTCCCCAGTAGCTGTCTCCACCTTCTGAACTAAAAAATTGTGTCCAGCCAGGAAATATGAACCAGGAAAGCATTTTATGAATTTAAATTAGAGTTTTAGATCTAATTTTCCTAGGGAGGGCTATTTTTCATTCACAGTGCATTACAGTTATATGGATTAGATGCAAAGCAGGGTCAACAAAATCCTATAAGGTTGGCAAGTGAACAGGGAAGCTGATTCCTTCAGTTTCTACTAATAGTATGCTTAGATATTCAAGTTGTGCCGCAGTGCACTTGCTATCCTTTTATAGGTCTTGAAAGTTGCACATTGTTTAACCTTTTGCACATGACAGTTGGATTCACTGGAATGTGCACTTCTAATTACTTTCAAATGAATTATTCTCCCTTTTATCTCTCCTTTTTGTCTTCCTTCAAAACATTTGCAAGAAAGATTGAAATGTTCAAATTTTTTTTAAATAGTCCTTTGACTCCTGTTCTGATTCTGGAAGCCGTACTGCATGGCCATCATTGATACAGTTGTATGTTCATGAATACTGGTAAGGGCTGAATTGTCAAATGTCTGTTTCCTTTTTGATACAGCTTCCCAAGGGAGAGAAGGTAAATTAGTGTATTAAACTCTGTCTGAGAAGACTAAGATGTCTGTTTAATGTCTGGTAACAATAAGAAGAAAAAAACACAAGAAGAGCCGACAATTGTAAGGGGAAAACTGAGCTAGGATACATTCTTGGTGGGATTAGAGGTAGGGTTGGTCACCATGATAATTTATTTTATAATTTCCATAATCTCCATTTTATGGATCTCTCTTTTATAGCCTTAAGTGACATGGTTTAAGTTTTCCTGTCTGAAGATAACCAGGATCAGTTTAGGCAAAAATGACACACAATTTTCTCCCTTCCTGCAGTTTAAAATTATTGGCTGAACTGGAAGCAAAAACTGTTATGTTGACTAGTTAATATCCCACACTGATGCATGTTGGTATGCTGAAGTTTTTTATTGGAGAATTCACAAGAGCTAAAATTGTTTAAATAACACGTGCAGTGAACTAAAAGATGCTCCGTCATAGGTTTTCCCTAAAACTGAAGAAGATCAATATGCTCATATTTTCACTGAGAGGGGAGGATGTACAGATAAAAAATAGGAAGATTGGAATTCTGATCACATTCTCTGGGTGTATTTACTTCTAACGTTATGGAAGAGTTAGAAAGGCTGGTTTGCGTGTGTCCAATCAGTTTTGCCTTGTGTTTGACAACCTCTGTTCTGGAACCAGGCAACCTCAAACTGACTTGGCTCTTCCCTTGGGATAGGGTGTGCAGCCATTCTGTTTGGTTGAAAATATACATGTTGTGGTTGAAAATATACATGTCTTTATCCCAAGTTCCAACTATAAGGCCATGGGACTTCTCCCTTCAGCCATTCTGTTTGGCTGAAGGGAGAAGTCCCATTGGCCTTATAGTTGGAACTTGGGA